CATCCTGGGCATTTTTCTTTCTTCTTCTTTTCCCCCATTCCTTTTAAAGGAGGTGCTTTATTATTGGCTCAATTTTATTGCATGTGATTGGTCTGCCTAGGGCTTATAAATTCCTGTTGGCTCATTGTAGGGCATATATGCCCAGAAGGCTGTCCATTTTCTTCCAGGTTTTCCTGTTAAGTAACACATGGTTTTTAAAATATTCCCTAATAATTTGGATTTCAGTGGTATCTGTTGTAGTACCCCATATTTTCTTCTCTACTTTTACTTTTTTGGTGGGATCTTTTTCTCTTGGATAGTTTAGTTAAGGTGTCTCAACTTTGTTTATTGTTTCAAAGAGGGAACTCTGTCTCCATGATCCTTTGAGATAATCACATGCCCTGTCCTAGCCTATCAGAGATGTGCATGACCAACAATGCTTTTCAATTATAACTATGTATGATTATATATTTATAATATACAAAACATATTTATATATACTATATACTGCATGTATAGTATAGTAGACAGTATATATATTAGTATATATAACTATGTATAATTGTAACTATGTATAATTTCAATATAATTATGTAAGTTTTTGTACTGTAGACTTACAGATACTAAAAGATAAATCAGTACAATAGTTACTGTAATAAATATCTTTGAACACTTATAAAAATCATTTGGTTTTTTTAATGTCTTTTTCCTTGCTTTTACATTTTCCTTCTAAGATTACTTAAAGTGTTATGGAAGTCTACTGTTCCAATTTCATATGATTTAAAATATTTTAGAGAGGCATAAAGGGAGAAACAATTTGAAGAATGTACACATTACTTTAAAGAAATCCTCTAGTTGAATTCAAATTCGTGGAACAATGTAGTTATATAATGCTTTAATAGAGTGATTCAGTGTAGTGATGGGTATGTCATTTTCTCATTCTGGGAGACTTTTTAGCTCTTAGTATTTTAAAATTTAACTCTGTCTTGAAGAAGTGATTGAGCCCTCGCATGTGTGCCAAAGAATGTCCTCAGTACTTTTACAAGCTAGAAAAAAAGAAGTGTGCCCTCAACAAAACAGTGTTCAGTCATGCTGCAATGCAAGCCTCGTGTACAGTTTTAGTTTTTGTGGCTGTCACATTTTAAATAGAAAAAAAGAGGCAAAATTAATTTTAGGAGTTTTATTTTACCCAATGTAATGTTAATATTTCAACATGTATTCTAAGTGCTATTTTATATTAATATGTTTTATTTAATTCAATATATTTAAATTATTTTTCTAAGTTAAATTTCTGTGATACTGATGCTTGATTTTTGTTTGCTTGCTTTCTTTTTTGTTTTTCGAGACAGGGTTACTCTGTGTAGCCTTGGCTGTCCTGGAACTCACTCTATAGACCAAGTTGGCCTTGAACTCAGAGATTTGCCTACCTCTGCCTTGCAAATGCTGTGATTAAATACATGTGCCACTATCCCTTGGCTATATTTGAGATTGTTTCTTTTAGTGTCTTTAATATGCAGTATATATCAACATCTCAATTTGCATTAGCTATATTTCTTTTTAAAAATTTACCTTACTTCCCAATCACTGCCCCCTCCTAGTCACCCCCTCCCCAAATCCTTCCCCCACCTCCCTCCTTTTCTCTTCTGAGGGTGGAGACTCCTCCTGGGCATCCCTCCACCCTGGTACATCATGTCACTGTAGAGTTAGGTGTATCTTCCCCCATTGAGGCCAGATAAGGCAGGCCAGATAGAAGAACATATCTCACGTACAGGAAACAGCTTTTGGGATAGCCCATGCTCCGGTTGTTCAGGACCCACAGGAAGGTCAAGCTGCACATCTGCTACATATGTGTGGGGCAGCCGTGATCCAGCCTATGTGTGCTCTTTGGTTGGTGGGTCGTTCTCTGAGAGCACTAAGGGTCCAGGTTAGTTGACTCTGTTGGTCTTTCTGTGGAGTTCCTTTGGGGCCCTCAGTCGTTCCTTCAGTCTTTCATAAGAGTCCCCATGCTTCATCCACTGTTTGACTGTGGGTCTCTACATCTGAGTCAGCTTCTGGGTGGAGCCTCTCAGAGGACAGTTATGCTAGGTTCCTGTCTGCAAGCATAATAGAGTATCATTAGTAGTGTCAGGGATTGGTGCTTGCCCATGGGATGGGGCTCAAGTTGGGACAGTTATTGGTTGGCCATTCCCTCAGACTCTGCTTCATCCCCATCCCTGCATTTCTTATAGACAGGCTAAATTTGGGGTTGAAAAGTCTGTGAATGGGTTGGTGTACCTATTGCTCTACCGAGGTTCCTGTCTGGCTATAGGAGGCAGCCTCTTTAGATTTCATGTTCCCAGTGCTGTGAGTCACAGATAAGGTCACCCTTATTGATTCTTGGGCACCTCCCCTATCCAAGATCTCTGTCACATCCTTGAGATGCCTCCTCCTCCCCACCCTGGCCAGTTGCAGATTTCCATTCATTCTCATGGTCATCTGGCCATCTCTCCTGCCCCTCTCCACCCCTGATCCTGAATCCCAATTTCCCTCCCCATCCCCTCTTTCACCCAGTTCCCCCCTTCCGATGAATATTTTATTCCCTTCTTTCAGTGAGATTTAAGCATCCTCACTTGGACCTTCCTTCTTCTTTTAAGCTATATTTTTAAAATATGTTATAATATATTTACATTTTATTTAATTTGGGTGAGTGGAACGGGGTAGGCAGGGCACATTTGTGCCACAGCATACTCACAGAGGTCAGAGGACAACCTGTGGGGTTCAGTTCTTTTCTTTCACACTGTGGGTACTGGGAACGTGTCAGGCTTGGTGGCAAGCTGTTTGCCTGCTGAGCCATGTCCCAGGCTCGTGGGCTAGCTGTATTTCAAATGTTCAGCAGATATGTGGCTAAGGGTATAAAGCAACTTTAGAATTCTATACTTCTTGCACTTATAATAGCAGAACATTTGTATCCATGAGATTACATTATGCAATGCTTAGATATGTCTCAGCATAATAGTTGTGAAAGTCCTTCATGTGGGGACAGACTGAATGCCAGTGAACAATGGAGTGGCCATCTATCTCAGTGCCTATTATTTGAAGTCTGACAACCCTAGAGTTGTTGAATATGTTGTTTTATTAATAATGTCAACTCCTGATCCTGCTACATTCCCATTAGAAAGCTAGCCCCCTGGCAGGGTTCACTTAACAATAAACACTGTTGCCACCTCACCCAAATGAAATACTTGAGTTTATGGCACATAGAAGAAAGTTTCTAACACCTATCCTGTCTTCTCTTTTTCCAAACCTCTGGTGCACAGTCATTTTTATTGATTTTTCCAGTATCCATAAGCTGAAGAGGCACAACATGAGGGTATTCCACCGATCTAGGTCCCTTGAAGTGCTATGGCTGGCATTCAAGACAATGTAGCTTACAAGGATGGATTTCCATAAAAGACAAAAGAATTAAACCACTGACTCCTTCATTTCTCCTCTGTGATATAACTGTCTTTGTTTGAGAGGTGATATAAGGTGTTTGTATCCAGTTTTCAGATAGAGTCAAAGGAAGTTGATTTAGGGATACATTAGATTTATGTTTTGAAGGATTTAGTTATGGCATTTACAGTATTTTCTGTATGACTGGATTATTGGTGGGTGTTCTGACATGGGGATAGATCCCAGGAATATTCCCTCTGTCCACTGTGAAGAATCACCTACCTCACGACACAGGTGAGGTGTTGGGCCATCAGTTGTGTCACTAAGTGGATATTACACATTTTACATGACACTAGGAAAAACATATATTACAAAGGAAAAATAAAGACAAGTATATAAAGTCAAATATAGTATGGAAAACTATCTCAAGTCTCAAAAATGTCCACTTGTAAATGGAAAACCAAGTCTTGCTGACTTCTGATTACAAGTAAAATTTTCTTCCAATATATATATATCCAACAACTATAATATTATTCTGGTAGGAACTGTATGTAATAATGATGCTCACTAAGAATTTCTGCCTTGTAACAAACCAGCAACAATGTCAGTGAGGGTGATGTATCCTGTACAACATCGAAGACTTAAACTGTTTTATCATATTTTTTCACAGATTGCCTTGACAGTGTTATACATATGATGAGTACTGGGAAATTTTCTTGTATGGACCAATTATCCAATAACATTTCCATCTTTGCACTTCAATAAATCTTCTTGTTTCGCAGCTCCTCGTCCGTAGTTCCTGTTGTCTGTCTTTTTTCTTGGTTTTCACTCATTTGGTTGTTTTCCTAGAGATGCCTCAAACTCTCCTCTAAAACTCAGGTGTTTTGGATAAAGTCATAGAGGTGCTGAAGATGCTATTTCTCCCAGAAAAGACAAGTCTTTCATTTTCATGGCAGATATCACCGTTGACCAAGGTTACCATCCTCACAGGAAAGAGCCAGAAAGCAAATAGCTTCACAGGAGGATGTAACACACACATGTGAACTTCACAGGAGGATGTAACACACACATGTGAACTTCACAGGAGGGTGTAACACACACATGTAAACAACACATCAAGACAGCTTCTCATGCATCTCAACTGATGATTTTGCTCAGAACTCAACTGGTATTCCAGACAGAGAAGTACTTTGTTTGTTTGTTTGTTTTTTAAAAGATTTGCTTTATTTCTATTGGGGGGAAGGAATAGATAGATATAACTTTTATCCAATCTGCTGTCCACTGTGTACACACATACCCACACACATACATATACACACACACCAAAGGTTCCCCCCCACCAAAAAAACAAAAACCACCCTCAAACTGTACCAATACTTCAGATTTTGACCAAAAGAATAGATCCTGAGAAGAAATGCAAAATGTAAAATCAAATGATCAAGAAATGCTGAGCAAACAGCATCATTAATATACAAAATATTTATATTACTGAACTAATAACAGATGATGTTCTCCATGTCTGTAAAACTTTGGAACAACAGAGCTGATTGTTAAATCTAGTCCATGCCAGCTTCCAAAACCCAGAGGATTTTAGTTAGCATCAAAATTTTCTACAGGATCTGGAACATCATCATCCTCTTCATCAATGTCTTCTGGTTTGGGTGCTTTACTATCCAATACTTGTCGTGGGAACTGCTCAGCTAACTTTCTAAGGCTCGTCAAGCTGTCTCCACCAAGCTGACTTAATATTCCAGGAAGCATTTCTGTGATTGGTTTGGCTTCTGCATGACCAGTAATTGCAAAGGTGTTAGCGGAGAGGGAAGCTTGGACTTTGGGATTATTGAAATAAATAATTGTTCCATCGTCTTTAATCATGTTCACCTCTTCAATACCAGCTATATTGTTCACGGCCAGTTTCTTTAGTGAACTTTGAAGCTTTTTGTCATCAGCAGTAGCTGTCCTATGTACCACCTTCTTCTTCCTGCAAGCTATCCCCTTGCCCCCTATCCGGACCTGAGCTTGAAGTTTGGCTAACTTTTCTTGATTCATGCTGTTGGTAAATCGGGTGTCTTCAGAATCCCAAACAGCCAGAGAAGTACTTTGAACATACACATATAGTTTATGTTTCTAAAGACAAGTAAAGCTGTTTATTTCCATCTCACAATAAAGTAGAATGTAAGAATACACACAAACAAAGTGAGAGAAGTGAAAATCTATTTTCCACTTTTTTTCACAGTTATAGTATTATGATATTATAAATATTGAGACTACTGGGAAATCTTCTTGTATGGACCAATTATCCAACATATGTTGTTGAATATATGTTGTTGTATATATTGTTATTAGAAGACAATTTTGCTTTTAATCAGAAGTCATTAAGACTCAGTTTTTCATTTACAAATGAATTAGTTCATAGACAGATGAGTATGCAAAAAATAGTTGTGTATTCACATATATGCTCCAAAATCAATACTTTATAAGTAAGAATTTACTTAAAAGAACATTTATTATAAAAAACCCAAATCTTCTCATTGAAGAAATCATCCATTTCTAGGATGATTCTTCTCCCCAAATGGAGCTGCAGATTTAAACAACTCCTATCTTGACCTAGGATAGTATTTTACAGAAGTTAATGAATCGCTCCTAAAATGTATGTGGAAGTACCAAGTTCCCAGCTCTATAGAGAAAGATGGAGGGTTTATTTCAATTGACTTCATGACTAATTCTAAAGCATTGTATATAATCAGGACAATGTGGTATTGACTTAGCATAAGCTTACAGATTAGGGACATTAAAATGTTTACTCTCCAATGTCAGCTTGGTGGGATTTAGACTCCCTTAGGACACACACGTCTTGATGTGTCTGTGATGACATTTGCAGAGAGGTTTAACTGGGTCAAGGTCATCCTAGACTTGTGTGTCATTATTCCATGGGCAGGGGTCCCAGACTTAACCAAAGGCAAAGGAGAACCCTAGTAGGAATCTTTAGGCTTCCTGATCCACTCACATGTAAACAAACCACTCAGTGCTTCTGCCGTAGCTCAGGCTGTTCCTCCCATCATGCCTTCTTCACTATGACAGACTGTCCCCTCAAACCACCAGTTAAGATAAAGCCTCCCTCCATTAGCTTGCTTCTTGCCTGGTACAGTGAGAGGCAAAGTATACAGCAAGTTAGTGAACATTTGAGAGAGGTTGAGGTACTCTGTTGCAATTCCCGACTACCACCACAGGCGAATGCAGCCGAGACAACATACAAACACGTGGCTGTGTTTAATTAAACCTTATTTACAAGAAATACAGTAGGCTGGATTTGGCCATGAGAGTGTAAACGAACCCTACTATAGGTCAAAGAAAGAGAGTTGAAACTCCACAGACCCTCACATATATCCTTTATCCATTTTCAACAAAAGTGTCAAGGCACGAAAAGGAAACAGTTTTAAATAAAAATAATCAAGACAATGGATATTTATATGCAAAAACATATGAATAAGGAAATAAATTTGGTACTTTTCCTTTACACTGGAAAGAGAGTAAAAAAGGAACCATGGATTACAAAACAAAACCCAGCAAAACTCTAAAAAAAAAAAAAAAGTGAGGAAATGTTCCCATCTCTGGTTTTAGTAATGGATTTTGGGGGACGAGACACCAGAAGCACAAGCAACAAAACTAAAACTGTTTGGTAAGTTGGACTTTTTCAAAATTTATAATTTGTACAAAAATTGAGATCCAGAAAATGAAAAGATAAACTGGAAACCAAGAGCAATATTTTGAAATCATTTTTTCCTAATTACTGACATGTATATGGAATCTTCAAGGAATGCTTAGAAGACTCAAATAGATATTTTTCTAAAGAAAACATGAATGACTAATAATTACACGTGAAAGGACTAGATATTAGTTCTCAAGGAGATGTAAACCAGAGCCTTAATAAGATGCTAGTGTACACTTTCTAAGAACATTTGTGATAAGAAAGATGTTAAAAATGCTGGTGGCAAGGGAGTGGAAAAAATGACATTCACACCCTGCTGGAGAGATTGTAAAGTGGTCCAGCCCCTTTGGAAAATGGTTTGTCAATTTCTGTAAAAGTCAGACATAATTCAATCATGTGATCTTTCTATGTATCTCCTAGATGCCTAGCCAAGAGAGATAAAAGGCAGTCCACATCAGGACAGATAAATAAACGGTTGTGTCAGTATTCTTTGCAAAAGGTTTGGCCTTTGTGGTATTATTGACAAGCACTACCACAGTATTCCGCTTTAATAGAGAATACAATATCTCTTTGTGTTCTACAGCATAGATAAACCTCAAAATTCAGATGTGAAAGTTTATATTGTGTGGTTGCTTTTATAGGGGAATGGTTAATTATGACTGTTGGGTTGAGTTCAGGAACGCTTAGCAAATCAGTAAAGCACACTTTCTGGGTGTGTCTGTGAGGCTGATTTTGGAGATGACAGGCAAATAGGACAAAAAACTGCAGGGGACACTCCATCCTGAACTTGGGGGACACCAGCATGGCATGGCAGCTCAGATGGAACATGAGCCCATGTCAGACAAAGCTTGCAAGGGCGTGCAAGCTTCAGTCTTCTTGAGTGAATGGGTCTATTACTGCTGCCTTCGCCTATAGCTTTCTGCCTCTGGCTTCTCCAGCTTCTAATTAGAGAACATCCTTCTCCATGGAACATACAGGCTCTGGGCCTTCGATTGCTGCTACGCCATGGCTTCTCTTATTCTGAGACTTCCAGTTTCTTAGACTGACCTGCTCCTTGGCTTTCTGTCTATCCAACCTCAGACTACCACTGTGGAACTGCGCTGCCTTTGATCATGTGAGGCAACCTATTAAGTTTCCTCTTGTAATAATAATCCTGGTGGTTCTGTTTCTCTAGAGAGCTCTGGCTGGTATAGACAGAACATCCAGAAAGGGCGTGTTGAGAAAGAATTCTGACAAACTGCTGGTCAGGGTTAGGCATGGGGATGGGGCAGGGACAGAAAATAAAATTGGAGGGAAAAGTGGTCATGCAGTTCAATAAATGTACTAAAAGACAGGGTGTTTTCTATTCAACAGTAGGCAGATCTTATTACACTCCATGTCAATGAAGCTATTAGTAGTCTGGATGTTTTCCTATGTGAGAGGGTCAGACATAAATGCAGTAGTCAGTGGTCTAACGTGTATTTGAGATTCACTCAATTTCTTCTACTTTCCAGTTTCTCCCCTAACAGTGCCGGCCGACCCTCATCCTCACGAGACTTGTTCTGTGATCTAGGCCAGCACTGACCAAGCTTTTAATGTCACATGCAACTCACAGAAAAGTATGGAAGTAGCAAGAGGCAGGAAAACACACCTCCCTGTAAGTCCTGCACTAAGCTACAATTTATGTTGAATGCGATAGACTTTTAAACATGGACTTTTCCAGGCTACCCAGAAGAGTGGTGATTAGTTTCCATGAAGAGAAGGAAAGGTGTTGTAAATGGGTGCTGGGAAGGCTCTGAGTGGGTGTTGGGATATTGAGGAAGAGCTCTTCTGTTTTTTTCCTCTGAAGGATGAGCAGGTGCCATTCTGTGAAATATCAGCTTCCGTGCATCAATAGTTTATGGAGAGAAAGGGATTTCTGATGTTTGAATGATTCTAAGGATTCAAAATTACTTTTTTGCTTTTACAATCACATAGTTTTGTCATTCAAATTTCTTCATAAGGGGGAAAAAAAAGCAGATTAAGTTTCATAATGATGAGGACGCATCTGTAGTTCCAGCACTTAGGTGGAGGCGGGAGACTCACGAGTTTGAGGCCAGCCCAGGTGGCATATTAAGACCCTGTCTCAATAAACCAAATAAATAAATATTCATCCCAAAAGAAGTTGGTGCCAGGGATATGTGGGAATCTTGTGCAAGAAGACTGTCACTGGTAATAACAAAGTAGCTGTCACAAAACAAAATATGGTACTCCACTAGGGAACAGGTCTGGAGCAGAGACAAGTATCTATAGCTCCGATGTCTGTTGCCTAGAAGTGGGTGTCAGGGTGGCCGAGTGGTCTAAGGTGCCACACTCATTGGTGTACCTATTGCTTAGTGGTGAGGGTTGTGTTTCCTGAACATCGCCAAAAACTAGTCTGTGTATATGTGAATTGTAGAGAAAATTCCAGACCTGAAATGGCAGCCAACCAATCGCCATGCTAGGGACCCAGCAATGAATAGCAAGGGCAGAAGTATGAAGAAGAGTGAGGAATTCCCTTCACCTCTACTAGGACCAGAGTCTGTGGAAGATGCCATCTACCGCAGACCCACAGTTCAATTTCATCTTCAACTGGTGTGCTCTAAGAAATGTGCCTTATAAGGCAAGGGGGGAAAATGTCTATTGTATATTTTGCCCTATAATCGAATAGATACTGTTGTTCTTTGTAAGATTAATCAGATGAATGAAATTATTTCTTTAAGAAATATCAACTTAGCTTTTCAAACATTTAAAATCACAAGCAAATGTACATGTCCCTGATCTGGTCTCTAAAACCTCGCCTCTGAGGCTCTCCTACTTCATCAAGCAAGAGGTAGATTTTCTTCCTCTGCTTAAACATACCCAGTTGTTGAGAATTCAGTCTCACAAAAGGTACATTATTAGCCTGCTAGACAAGATGTGCCCACTGGTACAATACTGGTATAACTGTTATTGGGATAACCAATCACTTTCTGATTGGATTGAGGGCCACTCCATGAGGAGAGAACAAAAATCTGGTACTGGAACTCGTGGCTGGACAGATCATTGCACCTGGAAGGAGCCTTACTACTGCTGACACTGCAGGCAGAACAGTCTATTGGCTAGATGAACTTGGCTTCTTCCCTGTCATTTGCCCCTGTGAAACTGCTCCTACTGTGTATCTTGAGGCATCTTCTTTCAACTGATGCCCCACCTTCCTCCCCTGCATTTTTCCCTGTGATTTAATAATTAAGATTCATCTTCAAAGACTTGTAAATGACACAGATTTAAATATCTCTTCCACATGTCAGTTGCGCATCTGAGAATGGTTGGTATTGGTTAAAAATTACTTTATTCAGTACAG